GCTGATTTTTATCCGTGTTAAGCTATCAACTGGATCAGGGCGAATTGCACTGATGAGGCTTGAGGCCCAACCAGAACTTCACGTTCCTAGCTTATAGAACTTTCAACCCATTTTTGGTTTGGTTACCCCGAAGCACAGTGTATGAAGTTCTTGCTCAAGGCAATTAGCAATTAACCAGAGAAATTTTTACGCCGTGCATGAAATTTTAACGGGGCTCCCTTGAAGTGGAAAATATCCTACAAATCGTGTCATCACAACCACCTTTCCATCATTATGCGCTTGTCTGTCAAAGCAATGATAAAATGAAAGTTTAAGCGCATTTATTTTTTGGATGGAGCTCCAAATTCCAATTTTTTTGGTAGTAAAACAAAGAATAACAATATTTCAAAATTTACCTATACGAGCGAATAAAGAACTGCTAAATTCAACCGTCCTAACCGCCATGATCTTCGACTCTGAAAGTTCGTATGCCATTAATGCCACGGAGAACAAACCGATGGACACGCGAAGAGCGATGAAGCGAAGAAGAATGTACAGTCTCCTCACACTTCACGCTCCAAGTGCACAAGTTCGGCGGCGGACTGGATTAAGATACGTGATTTCTACCTTCCTCGATGCAGAGAAACAGGAGAGTGTTGTTGCTTGCTTCAGAAACACCTCGGAATTACGAACTGGCTTTCTTCAGACCACAGGCATCGAGTCAATCGTCCAAGAAAACACGCTGGAATGATCTGATGACCGAGTTATTGAGGTCGCCAGGACTGGTCTACAGTGGATTTCTGTCAGTTCAAATACGCTAATGCGCGGTCACTAGGTAAAAGAAATAATCGACATGCTTTATAACAGCTTATCATGCAATGGATGATAGCTTTTACCGATGATATTATAACTCTTCGCTAGATTGTACGATGTGACCTGCTTGATTACATGCAGAGGTAGGCGGTTTGAGGACGGAGGTGCGAACGCAACTTGAAAAAGCATGCAGCAGGTCGTGGAAAAGATTTCGAAAATGTACTCTGATTCTGAGTCCGTTGCTACTTTTCTGTCCTAAAGAAGTCAACTGTTGTGCGGTAGAAACGCTGTCAACGGTGTAACGAAGTTTGCGTAATATCAGCATTTGTCTTGCATCCAATGCCACTGAATGGGAAACTTAAAAGATTTATTGTTTTGGAGAGATTATGGAAACTGCGTATGAGAAATTTCGAAAACAAATAATCTGCTAGCTTCTTTGAATGAATGCAGATCTCCGAGTTTAAGTGTCTGCAGCACTTGATGCATTTGTATAACGTGTTCTTGCCAGAAGAAATTCAAATTTGGACCAATCAGTCAATTTCGATGATCGCCCGTCCTTCGGGTCGCGGAGGCAGACACGTCAGATAGTGCTTCCAACGCTCCAGATTCTGTGACCGCGTTTGAGCTTCGGCAGAAGACAACCCGAGCCTAGAGCAGAGTCCTTCGATACACTTAACCGTGTTTGATCCATTCCCCGGTTTTCGCCTTCCCTTCTGGAGTCATTCGCCACAACACGTGTCCAAACCGAAATTGAAACACCGCCAAAAATGCCTTCTGAGATAGTAACAGGAATCACTGCTTCAGATTAATAACTAACGTTACGTGTAGTTGTGTATGAGTCTTCGTTTCGCATTATATTTACATTCATCGCTCCCTACCGTATTTATAACTAAGTCACTGAAATTGAAATATTACTGCATATCAGTAGGGATATAAGTACTGCTCGCGGTCTTTTCGTGATCTCACATATCCGCAAACTTGACGCATCAGTACTGCGAGGAAACTAAGCAGTCATTAGAATATTTATTTAAGGGAGTAAGGTAGTAGGGAGAGACCTTTATGCAACAACTAATTGTTTACCTGCAAATATTGCCTTATTGACCGTGTCGTGGACAGTAGAAACCCATGAATTGGTAGCCATTGCTACTAGCTCATTAGTAAGGCTATTGAGAAACAACCCTACCTAATGATACACTTGCCTTTGTCAAGTTTCTGCGAGAAGAGGGGTTCAGCATAGCGTTGCGTGCTGCACCCGGCCTTTCCCAGACATTTTCATGGTTCTACTTGCACACGTCTGTCACGTCAGTCACGTTTTGTCGCAGGATAGGACATCAACAGGTGCATATTTCACTAGAGACTCTTATCATTTCAAAGCAAACGGTCTCTTCCTAATTCTTGTCTTTGAATGAACTTTTTTCACTCACATTTCTCTGTGGACGTTGAACAGATGTGAGCAGGTTTTTGGACACCATCCTCTGTAACGAAGTCGCCTTGCCTCCGACGTCGGCAGCAGAACACGTTTCGACCAGTGGCTAAGCAGAAGAGCAACCGCGCGCTTTCGCTTTTGTTGACTAAGTTAAAGTGCTAATAATAAACATGAAAAACGTGAGCAGAATTTTTTCACTGTGTCGAATCATTTCTCGTCGGTGCATGAGGTTTTAGCTATCTGAATGGAAAAAAACGAAAAGCACTCATGAATCCTCCTGCTTAAAAGTGTCGTCTCTTGCTTTCTATAGATAATAAATAATAATTTTCTTGCTGGTGTATGCGGTGGGTGCTGAAAGCCGAAAGAAACTTCTTTCTGCATAGCGATACTGAATTTTGAATAGTGAAAATGGAACTTTTGCTTGGAGATAGAATTCGGCGACGATTCTGTTTAAACACGAAACAGTTGGTTTATGTGTACATATTAAACCGAACCAGAAGTAGTATATCCTGCCCTCTTCCTGCCTCTGTTCATTGCTGGTCAGCAGTGGACGACGAACCGCGACACAATGCCACGTCCGTCCGTCTCTGTACCTTGTCACTATCATCTGCGCGTGAGTCACACATGCTCGAGCAGAAATGACAGCACTTCCAACCTGGGTTTGTTTTTTATGATGTTTATGGAGTAGGTTGAGAACAGATTATTGTCCGCTTCGACTCTGCTCATGCTTTTCTGACTTTTGCCCACGGTTTTGAAAAAACCAGTCTTTTAAATGCTTGTAAATTCACCGTATGGCATTAGCTGAGGATGAGTGGAAATCGCCTACTGTCGACCAGTTTCTAGGTAGACTTTGTACAAGGAGGATGTGTGTCGATAGAAAAACGTTCTGGACATCGACTCGTATGTTTTTGCTTCAATTTTCGGCCATTTGGCATGGCTTAATGGCGAAACCAATGTTGCAGCTTCGGAACGTCGGCAAGCCGTATGCACTTACGGCCGTCCGAAAAACGAGGCCGCCCGGAAAATGCTTTCGACTGGCGTCCATCGTCGAACAGACGGTGGTGATTTTCCTCCTCTTACACTGGCGCCGACCAGACGAACGAAACGAGCGGTTCACTCGGCTAATACAGTTCAGAAATTCGTCGTCAAAGGTGCAACACCGTAAATTACTGTAAATTGCCAAAGCTGTCTTTAGTAGTACAGTTTGATCACTGCGACCTATACAACAAGAGTACAGAGGGAGTCACGTACCGCAGACTTTTACATGGCACGAATTGTACGTACCGCTACCCGTTAGTCGCACCCTACAGCTGCGTGTTTACAGTACATGAATACAGTACTACATTGGAACGTCGTAAAGGTTATTTCCGTTAGTTCCACTCACAGGAAGCACGCACAGATTGGATTTCAGTATGTGATTATTAAACCAAAGGGACATAATTCAGTGTAAATAGTATGAGATAGAAAAATACTGTTTGTCTCGACCACTCATGCTATTTCTCAGCTGCTTCACTGTCGCCACTAGCAGCTTCACCAAACACTTTAAGATTGTCAAATCCAAAGGGGTTCTCATTCCTAGCAAACTTAGGCTCTTAGCAAACCAACCATTACTTGCCACAGAGGACTGAGATTGCCTGACATTTTGATGTTATGTAGTCGAGAAACTTCTGACCTTCGTCTGAACCGTCATTGAGCATAGAAAAACGCGGCTATAGATTTAGTCTTACATGCAAAGAATTAATTTTTCCATTTCATAAATATAGTCACAACGATTTTTTGTTGTTATTGATGACTTTAAAGAGGCAGATCCTTTCACATGTCCCTTTACACAAACAACATCTTTTAAATAGTATTCTCTGTTATTGATGCGAGACCACGATTATCTCCTTACACTTTGTCGTTCCTCTTCTTTTAATGATTTTTATTATAATCCCTAGATAAATTTTTTGCGCGTTTACAATTGGGTTCACATTCTCACTCCTGTTCCTGTTTCCAATCATGAATGTATTCTACGACAGCGCATGTTAACATGAAAATCTGTTAAAGTCTATGAATATGGATACGCAGCACGAACGCGTTCAGTAGTAAGCAAAGAAAGACTCACTAAGGCGCACGCATGCACACGTGGTCTGCCTCCCTTTCGAAGGATTGCTGTAAGGTGAGGTTTCGACTCGGAACTATTTCCATAGCCCGCTAAAGACAGTTTGCTTAAGTTCGGTTCGAATTTACGTCAGACGAGGTCTGTCTGTCTGCGTCACGGCTAAACGTAGAGATGAGCTCCTCCTGTAGGAACAGTAGAAAATCAGCAGTTCCAGTGACAGCGTAAGCTTGTAGATTGATTAGCCTTCGCGGGGTTTCAGCCTATTTTCTTTCAGCAGTTCTGCCAGAGGGGCTTTCGTTCCTACAATGCAACGAACCCAGTATTCACTAGCTCGTCAGCGTATTAAGCGTGAATCCTCAGCTTATGGCACAGCTGCCGTTTTCCTTGGCACAGGAACAGTAGGACGAACTCTGAAGCCCGGGTCTTAACGGGAAGCTTTAGTTTTCAGCTCCGCATTCACAGCCTAGTCGAGAGATTGCCGGTACAAGCGTAGCGTCTCATGTAAAAGAAATAATTTTCATGATTGTAATAAATGATCAAATACTTGCACCTGTAATTGATGACATTTTGTACAGTTCAATATCAACTTCTGTTGAAAGGGTGGATGACAGGCCCTTCGACTAGAACAAATAACAATGAAGAACAATGACATAACATCAACGGGAGAAACACAGGCAGACAATCTGAACAATATCCATGAAATATTAAACGAATCGTTGATATCCGGTGTTCCGCGATAGCTGCCTATTTTATGTCATGTTAATAAATATTATTTCGATCTGGTTCAGAGTATTGCAGCTAAAACTGAAACTGAAACTGAAAGTACTGCGGTTTGTTGTGTGGTCCGAGCAGTCGAAGGTGCGCTTTTTGCCAAGCCGTCGGATAAACAGTTTTTTGAGTTTTGGGCTTAATAAGGCTTGTCTAATCCGCTCATATTTCGTATCCTTTGTCTCGGTGCGGTTGACATTATCCAATGCTGGAAAAATGATGACCGCTGATGTGGAAACCGAGAGGGAGCTGTTTAAGAAGACTGACACGACGCTGCCGCCGAGAGTTGTAATGTCAAACGGGTTGGCCTGCCACCTGGCGGTAAGAAGCGAACTTCCTGGTAGATACGAGAC